TGAACTTGTGTACCACCCACTCTCCGCAGGGTGCAGAAGAGGGTGTGGTTCTCAACCGCGCCTGGCGGTTGTCCAACGTCGAGAGATCAGTCCCTCAGGGCGCGTGTCAGCCGACACTTGAGTGTCGAACGCGACCCTCAAAATTAACGAGGATCGCATGAGTATGGGTACTACATAGTACGCCATCATCGTGACCGCTTGCGTACGCTTGCATTGCGAGTCGATATGACTAAGCCTTGCTCCCGTGCGGTTTTATACTAAGTCTCGCTCGCGACGCCTATCCGATTTCCGCATCGAAAAGTTATGCGATAACTACTAAGGGACTAGGAGTGTTGTCGCGTGGTTTGTTCCGTGTCGTGTGTGTCTGTGTGTGTGTGTGTGTGTTTATTTTTATGTTCTTTATAGGGCTATGCGCGTGGCGTGTGGGATGCGTCCTAGCCGACCGATGACGAGTCGCGCTCGGGACCTCAGCCCCCCGAGATGCCGGTTCGCGTGCGGGTTCGATAGAGGCGTAATACCGCGTGCACCCCCTATGCTACAACGAACGAGAAATGCTATCGGCTGGTCCACCTCTGCGATTGCAACTGATCAGCTTTCGTACTGTGGACTGGTAGCTCGACGGGGATACGCCCACCGAAGGGAGGTGACAATTCCCGTAAGGTGGAGGTAAGTCGTGCCTCGCGTAGGCCCTATCTTGTCGTAGGGGCTCGCGGGAGGTATGGCTGGCGCACTCGGCCGGAGCGGCTTGCGGAAGCTCCATGTATATTCTCGACGAGGATGAAGACCAACTCCTGTGTGACGTGGCCGGGAGGGTTCCGCGCTGCCTCGTGCGGTGCCGGATCGATGCGCTCGACACCGTGCTCCTCCCCGCACGAGCGCTCCGCCCTCGTCCGATTTACCGCCGCCCTCTTGATTACGTCTCCTTCTCTCCCCTTCCCCACATTGAATTCCCTCTAACCTACCGTTTTTTCGCCAACCAACTTTTTTGTCACCACTTTGCCGTGCGACTCTTACGCACGATCTTCCCTCACCTCTCCCCGTCGTTCCCCCTTAACATCCTTCTCTTCAGTGTCGCCTAGAGACAGTACAACCATATGGAGTTGTACTGTCTAATCTTCGGAACCTTCCCCGTGGTAGAGGACTATGAGTCCCTACGCGATAACATCCTTCGACTATCCCTACTCTCTATCCAGATTACCTCCTCTCCGTCTCCCGACCCAACCATCGATTCCCGTGAGCGCATATAATCGTCCACTTTGTCGATCTCGGGGACGAAGCATCTGATTATTCTCCTCCCCTCTCAGCCGAATGACCCAAACCCCTTCACAACCCTCTTCACGTAAACTACCGACCATCGAACTTTCAGTAGCCGAGTAGAGCGGCGAGCTGTGATGTTGCAGGGTATGGTGCACAATAGAACCGGGTGGCAGAAAATCTCAGAAACCTGGAGCTGACCAAGTTATCAAGACAATGTAATTGAAGTTGGCGTCAACAAAACTCCTGGCTTGATCGAGTGATTGATGATTGTGATACGCTGGGTTCCTCATTCATATCCTAACCATCTCCGATCTCCTGTGCCATAACTCTCCTCCCTGCAATCAGGAGATCACATAGTTTTGGAACCCCCTGAGCATCACATATAAGACGCGCTAGTTCCCGGACCTGCGCCATCTTTCGTTTCCCCCCCCTTTTCTCCCTCTTTTTGTCGAATTTTGGATGACCATCCGACGA